ATATATGGTCATGATGTGCCTATATATGGTCATGATGTGATGTCACCGTGACCATATTTAGGCATGTCACATGTCTTTCTCAAATATAATTTGATAGTCTGGACAGGGCCTAATGATAGTCTGAATAAGAGTTACATAGTTTTATTAACATGGTTAGGCCTAATTATTTATTTTTTTGTTTCCATTGAATGGGGCTTGTACTCTAAAGCCTTGATTCCATAAGATCACTACGTCGCAACTGTATTTTAACTCCAATCGCTACAGATTATCAGCCTACGCAATCGGAGGGCTCTCCTATTTGACCGCCAACCAATCAGTTGACTGTGATAGCATGTAGCAACCTTATCGAAACCAGGCTTTACGCCTCTTGCTTTGGAGATGTAGAAGAGGGGAATTGTATTATACTGAAGCAGTAAGTAATATTATATAAATCCCATTACATACACACATACATAGGCCTACATTAGTAGAACTCGGGTTGATTTTTTTTTTTTTTATCACAATAATGATTCGTTGTCTGTCTGTTTCTGATAGATTATATGGTCATACCGCTACCCACGTGTATTTCAGATAGACCTATGTTTATAATATTTTTATTTTGATTATATTAATTAGTTTGTGTATAGTTTATTTCTGGATATTATCGTTGCTTGTTAGGTATTGTCATAGAATATGGCCTACTGTAATGAATTTATTAATCATTAACATAATGGCGCGCCATGAATTTTGTTCAGAATTTTTCAGCCTACTTATTTTTGAGAATATGCTGTGGGTCCCATTGAGGTGCCAAACCGGTCGCTTGCGCTACCCACACAACCAACTCAGCATAAATAATATTAGGGGCGGATCCAGAGATGTCCGAAAGCAGGGGCTAAACATTCCGGATCCGCCCCTGGAAAGGGTGGGGTGGTGAAATGGGCCCGATCGAGAAGTAACACAATCCTAGGGACCCGGGAAATTCTCCCTCCAAATTTATGCTTTCTAGACGCCCGAAAATAACCTCTTTTTTTTTTCTACTTTTAAAAAAGAGTGGGGAAAAGAGCCCGACTTGTACCCTTCCCCCTAAATTTCCCCTGAATATAGGCCTATATATTTAGGAAAGCCTTTAAAACTCTCCCCTCGAGCCATGGGTCTTCGTTACTCATTCATCCCTCCCCACCCCCCAACTCACATTTTACCCACCGGCAGAATACACCCGACCCGCCCCTGATATGAGTACAGGCCTAGGCATTCGAAAATGTAGACGTGAGTAAATAGGTTAAATAGACAACGCTCTTGAGTTCTTCAATCTTGTTTGCATTGTATATCATGTGTGTTCACATCACAATGTTGTTCTATGACTTCAAAGTCTTTTAATGTCAGGCAAACGACATGATATTATATGCAAATTGTATACCGCCCTCCCAGACCTTGGATAATATTAATACATAATTTCACCATAAATCTTTCTAGACAAACGATCTGGTAATACTGCCATTAAGATGTCGGTGCTGACCGTTCCCTCCACCCTCAACTACTAAAAATGAAAAAAAAAAATTTTAGTGAAAAAAGACAATTGAAGTAAAATTTAATCCTCTATCTGTGAAAATCCTTCTACCTGGATCTGCCACTGGAAATAATACCCGAAGCTAAATCACTTGACTCGTACTAGAGAGGAGACATGTGTGTTAGGCCTGAAGACGTTTTATGCAGTTTTATCATACGACTTTTCCCGATCCCCATTACGGCTCTGTTTCATTTAATTGCAGACAATATCGGTAGAGGTAGGCCTATATGGAAATTAATTACTTACAGCTACCTACTACCGTAAGAACCTATTTTTCCTAATGAGGCGATTTAGTTCGCATGGGGTTTGTATATAGAATAACGAATCACGGAGATGATTTAGGCCTAAACAACGGTAGGCCTAAGCCGTAATTAAGGTTCAAATTGTACAGACGTGTGTTTTAAATATCGCAATTTTCCACTGGGGCTCTGTTTCATGTTGCTATTTTAATTACAGACAATATCGGCTACAGGAGCATATGGAAATGAGTTAGGCCTACAACAGCCGTAGTCAAGATTTTCAAACAGGGCGAGACAATGAGGGTGGACCCACTTCACGCGTAAATTCAAATAATGTGGACCCATTTTCGCAAACGTTTACCCATTTTGCGACAAAAATATTTAAAATCTGGACCAATTTTCTTAAATGTTAACCCCTTTTAGGCTAAATATGAGAAATCTGAACCCATTTTTAAAAATGTGGACCCCATTCTTTGTGGACCCTTTAGAAAAATTGTGTCACGGACTGATATAGCTGGCTACGGCATTGTCACCGTCATTATCTTATTTTTCCTAATTAGGCGTTTTAGTTCACTGGTTTTGTTTTTTGTTTTGTGTTTGTTTTTGTTTTTGGGTTTTTTTTTTGTTTTTTTTTTTTTTTTTTGTAATAATATAGACTAACAATGAATCTTACTAAAAAACGATAGGCCTATATCTGCAACTACCAGTGCAGTGATATAAAAGTTTTAATTTGTTCAGACTCATTGCGTTATCGCGTTATGTGGTAGTGCGCCCTCTAGAAAGATTTTTTTTCCTGATTTTATTTATAATAGGTGATGTCATTTCATATTTATCGGTATTTACAGTATACTGTATCCGGTATTTATAAAAGTATAGAATGGAAATTGCATCATTTCGTCATCGGCTTCAAGGATATAACTACATAATATCTGAGTCACAATTAACCACAATGTTAGGCGTTAGAGAATATTTACCGGTAAGTTGTATCTTGTAAGTTGTATAGTTGTATAGTTAACAGAAATAAGTAAATTACCGGTACTTGCCTACGACACCAATTTATACCTCCATGCGTGTAAGATGTGTAACCTACATACGACACGATTTTATGAATGAATATGACCTTGATGCTACAGTACCGGTATTGACAAGTTTTATCTTGTTTTAGTTAAGCTTAGAATTTATCGGTATTTTGTGTTTGTGTGTGTGTGTCTATATATATATATATATATATACATATATATATATATATATATATATATATATATATGTGTGTAAATATTTTATATATATTCTTTTGGACCTGAAGACAACACAGTTTTAACTCTATTTACTAGATTTAGGAAATCATATTTGTTTCTGGAAATAGTTGTGGTTTTCACGATGAGCAGTATTTTGTATACATTCAGAAATAATGGTTTAGTTGGACACAGATACAAATTGTGCGATATTGCTCTTAAGGCATGTTTTTGTAATAGAAACAATTTGTTGATATACACTTTACTGCAGTGGCGTATCTAGGGTGGGTGGGGGGTGGCCGCACGCTCCTCCAATAATTACTCATGCTACCCCAGTTATCCCCCTTCCTCAAAAAAAATTCATTTGAAAGTAGTTAAAAATCACCTTATTTTGCGAGTAAGCACCCCTCAACTTATTAATGGGGCCCCCCAACTTTAGCTTTGTGCTTCCCACCCCATCAGCACCCCCATTTCAAGACTACTAGATATGCCACTGCTGTAGGGAAGGGTTGTCCAAAAAATTGATGACGTAACCGTATTCGTTATCGTTTTCGTAAGCTTGCAAAAGCTCTCTAATTCTCTTTCCTTTTAATTTCATGTCACTTTTAATTAATACTTTTTAATATTCTAAATTGCAACAAATATGATCTTTGACTTCTTTGTAATAATTTTATTAAGTAAATAATCAAAAGTAATTTTACAAGAATATTCAAACAATTTCAGATTCAGATTCAGATTGTCTTTGATGTCTTTGTAATTATTAATTTGATTAAATAATTAAAAAGAGCGTGTGAAAGCCTTAGTACTGAATAATTATAAACCCAAAAATAAAAGCATGGAACTGAAAAATTAATACCGGTAATACATAACTATTGAATAAGTCTTCTTGAAACAGTTCACTATCAGGAACTTTCCAAACGCCCGTCGTTTAGCAGTCTTTTGTTTTCGGATAATTATTTATTTATATTAAAATAACTTCATTTATCTTTTTAGTTTAGTATGATGATATTGAATTTTATTAATGTAAGCCAATCATAAGGGGGTTTTCACCAGTATTCGTTGTTAAATGATTATTTGTTTTCTTCAAACAGGTTCCGAGATGTTGCAGTTACAAATTAGCGTCTGTAGTTCTATGTCTAATTGTGGTGTTAGACTCAAGTATATATTCAGTTACCGCGACAGATGCCTGCAATGGTCGCTGTCGTGAGTTTGTAAATGTGTATTGTAATTCTGGGACAGGTGTATGTGACGATTGCAGTATATACTGCTCCACCGATTCTATTTTCTATAATGAAGAAAAATGTGATGAACTCTGTTCGAAAGGTAAGTCTTCATAATAATATAGTTCTTTATGTTTATTTCTTTATTTGGAAATCGAAATACTATATCGACTCGATTTCCTATACGTTTTATATAAACTAATTATAAGTTTATTGTATTTTGCAATGTACTACTATCTCCTTTACCACATTATACGTTTACAATTGTGTCTATAGAACCGGTTCCTACTGATGCTTGTGCAAATAGATGCATAGATTTTCCGGACACGTACTGTAATTCTATAACCGGTTCCTGTGACAGCTGCAGTATATTCTGCTCAAAGAGATCAGACTTCTATAATTCCACAAAATGTGCAATTAAATGTCCAGGTAAGGAGATTTTAATTACAGTAGAACCCCTATCAAGGGGCACTTATTGGCACATATAAGCATCTCCTTAATAAATGTGTCCCTTGAATAGGGGTTGCCCGTGTGTTAAAAGATATGATTTCCTTCATTTCGTATCCAAAAAAGTGTCCACTTATAGGGGTCTCCCTTTTGGGATTGCCAAAGGAGTGGTTCTACAGTACTTCAAAAGTACGATCAAGAAATGAAGACAAAACATGTATAGGCCTATATTTAAGCACTGACCTTAAAGATGTACTGTCCCTTGAAAATGACCAAAATCATAAAAAATAATTTTTAAATTAAGTTGCTCATTTTGCAGTAACATACAAATTATTAACTTGAGCATAGAAATTATTAAATTAAAAAAATGTGTTCCCTGATTTTTTAACTGGATAATTATAATAAAGATAATAAAACACTTCCTGTGATTGGAAGTGTTTCTATAATTTTTTCGTTGTAAAATGATGGTTTTTATTGGTAAGCATTTTTAAAATACACTTCTATGTTCTATGTTCAAGTTGATAATTTTTATGTTACTTCAAAATGGGCAAATAAATTTCAAAAATTATTTTTATGATTTTTTTTTTGTTTTTTGCAAGGAACAGTACATTTTTAAGTGAGGCACAATTATGAGGGTCTTTAAGGGTTCTTTACAGATTTCGTAGTGATACGAATTGGTACGCGGGAGAGGGGTTAATCTTTATACTTGATTCTTGGTTGAAGCCTAGTTGATAAATCATCATGAAAATGATTGTATGCAACCAGTTATGGGGCCAGGGGGTAAACATTAAACTGTGACGGAGTACAAAAATATAAATAATGTAAAATAGAAGGAAATAATATATGAGGGTCAGTCGCATTGCAGTTGCTCTAAAAATCTGAGATAGTGGAAATCACAATGCCTACAGTTTTATAAGTTTTGGTGTCTTCCTAAAGGACCGTGGCAACAAACGCCTGAGTCTAACGCGGTTATGGTTCGGTGGTAGGTTCTGTGAAAAACAAAACAAAAAATTTTAAATCAGTTGAGTACTGGAAGAATGGGCATTTCTATTTTTTTTTTTTTTTTGGATGCATGATACCTAATGATTATTCCCTTTCTAGGTAGAATGCCCACACCTTCGCCGACTGAGGGACCAATACTTTCAACAACAGAGGACCCTGTAAGCACACAGACCTCTGGCATCTTTTCAAAGCCTGCGATAATATTACGCAATGAACAGCCCGAACTTAAGATTGAAACCACCGATAGCAGTAACAGTAAGTGACATATATAATGCAAACATTTCTTATTTATATTTTTTTCCACATAACACCGTATAGTATCTGTCTCTTATACACATCTAGATGTGTATAAGAGACAGATTTACAGGGATGACGTCATCCGCCATAAGCAACTCTCATTGCTTTCTGTTGTTCTGTTAGGTGATAACACTGGTGATAGGCCTATGTTTGTTGGAATTGTTTGCGGATTAGCCGTATTTTGTTTGTTATTGATAATTGGGACGATTTATATAGTCTGCCGTAAAAGACGCAAGAGAATACAATCAGGTACGGTACTACATATATTAATAACACCTACAAACAAAATTATGCAACAGCACCATATCATTATAATCAATATTTATTGTATGGAATTTTCATACATTTCTATAATAATATAATTTTTGAGTTTTAAAATATAATATATGTATGTTATGTTTTTATATGCATTCACTTCTTAATTTTATACTTCATCGTTATGTAGGCCTATGTCTATGTCAATAATAATAATGAATTTGCATCGTGTGGTTTACAGGTTTTCATGAACAAGTGGTTGATGACGAGAAAAAAGCACTAGGTAAGATATATCATTATTTATATCTGCTATTTGCAATGCTGTTTTACATTCACAAAAATAGTATGAAAAAATCAGTTGCTTCCAAATATATTCCAAAGAGGCCCGTTTGGTTAAGGCGTTTGCACAGCGTCTTCGATTCCGGGCTGAAGCTACTAATTAGTACAAACGCACATCCTCTATAATGTTTAAAAAAAGTATCGCTAAATTCGATTTTAAGTTGCAAAATTTTAAAGAATGAAAAGCATATCACAGCTTGATATGAACACAATCTCTATTTTGTTAAAATTATTACAGAACGTTAATAGGATTTATCATGCATCTTACTATGGTGTATTTCATCATTGTATACGTAATACTAAGGTTAACTTTTGATTGTGTTAAATACAGGTGCTCATAGACAAGAGAAGGGCAATCCTCATAAACAATCTGAAATGGTATTGGGACACGAAACATCACCGTTGAACAACGGCGACGGTTCAAACGGCAGTGATATATCATTGGTTTGATTACTGGGAATTAATAATGGTATGGTCTGATCATGGTCTGATGTACGCGATGTATACATCCCTTTGGAATGGTCTGGCAAGTCAAACCGAGTTAATAAATCTGTCAACACAGTCCAAAACACATTTCTACTTTATAAATCTTATCATTTTTTTAAAGTAAAAAGTGCCCGGAGATTTATATAAGCATGTCTCGTTTCAGAATGATTAATTACATCATTTAACTGGCAAACGAGTGTACATTTGGGCTCATTCCAAAAGTCATTTTCTCATTTAACTATTTTTAACTTATTAAACACCGTATAATCAATGGTATACTTTTGGCGTACCTTGATTTAATATACTATAATATAAATGGAGCGGACCCTCATAAATTGTATTAAGAATAATTATTGTTGTATTGTATTTTTGTATAGTATTTTTATCATTATGAACATAGTACCGGTAAGATTTTTAAAGTATGAGAGTGCAATTTCCGGGCACATACAGGTCCATATTGTCAAAATGTTCTCACCTCAGCCCAAACCATGGTGGGGCAGAGCTGGCGTCGACTTCTAAGCCCCCTACCGCCAAATCCTGCATCCACCCCGAGTAATACACGACCATCGGTATCGAACGATTATGTAGCTCAGTGTGTAATCAACCGTACGAAATTGGCCATGTATTTTTTTTGTTTTTTGTTTTGTTTTTTGTTTTCTTCACGTCATTTTCTATAAAATGCTTTTATAGGTAAAAACAATTAGAGAAATTGGGACAATTATTGGGTCAAATTATATTCAAGAATCACCTTTAAACACTTTTAAAATTCAATTAAACCTCGTCGAAAATAATTCGGTTTATTTGTTTCCTTTTTGTCGTTTGTGTTTTTTTTTTTTTATATTTTGATGTTTTTTTTTTCTTTTTGTTTTTTAACTGTACAGTACTGTAGTTTACATTTTTCGGATCTTGTGTTTTTATCGTGATTTTAATCTGTAAAACAGGACCATATTGTACAGCACTTAATCGCGGATTATGTTATTCTGTACAAAGATAAGTTAAATAAATACATAAAATAAAATATAAAGTGCGTACCTTAATGCTTACGGCTAATAATATTTTGTATCTGTATGGGTATTGAACTGGATCTTAATGTTGAGTAAAGCTTGCAGCAAAGCATGTTCAATTCAATGTATTGTTAAAACAGTTATTATTTAGGCCTATTCGTAGAATTAAAAAATCATATTGTATGTAACTTTATACAGTACAGTATAATTGTATTGATATCTTCTGCTGAATATGACATCTTTACCTACTTTTAGTGCTTAGATCTCAGCCAATATTCAACCCAATTGACACCTCTTTAGATTTTTATTTTCTTTTAAATTTCTAATTAAAAAAAAAATCTAATATGTATATATGTATATATATAAAACTACCAATAAGGATGACTTTTTTACCTTGATATTGTTCAGGTACATTCCGATGTTTTAAAATCTTTCTATTTTATAAATTATTCTTCAACGTTATATTTTTAAATCATATTATGTATTTATACATCTCTTATGTTTATTTATTTATCACCATTCAGCTTTCCAAGTTATCAAGATTACCGTCTATTATAAAATTTGGAAAAACCTAAAAAAATATGAACAATAACTTCTAATGAACCACCGATCATGGGCTTAAAATTAAATTTTTACTTACTTACCTTTTCACTACAAATTCCACAAATTGATAAGCAGCCAATTTGATGTCTATGCAAAATAATACAGGAAATAATGTTAAGTATGACGTCTGTTAAGTGCAGAGTAATCAATGTGTTAATTTTTAATTGAAAGTTAATATTAAGATATAAACGATGAAGTCCAACAATGAAATATGCCAGAGTAAGGCGAGACTTATTTTATATCTTGTTTAACAAACCCGCCGACAGCAAATATTGATAATTTCGAATAAAAAGAAAATATTATTTTTAGCCAATTAGCGCCACGAAAAAGTGGAAATTTCAGATTTTTCCCCCTGTATTTTTATTACGCTCTCTGCTGCCTTGAAATTTCCAAAGATAAGATAAGCGTATGTATGTTTCTTCCTAACTATATATTTTTAAGATTTTATTTTTATTCTGCCCTCCTAATCTTAATAAGTACGGTATGCGAAACAAGGAATAAAAAAAAGTCTCACCTAACTGGTCAGAGAGAGTGAGACCTCCACTGGTAGCAGTGGCGTATCAAAAGGGCGTGGGGGGGGGCGCACAAAAAAAGCCCCCCCCCCCCCCATTCGAAAACTTCGAAGCAAAAAAAATTAGGCTAGGCTTATGCTTATGCTGTCACGGTTAACGTGTATTCGGGAATCTAAGATGCAATATTTTTCAGTGGGCGTGGCCACCGAAAATAAATTCCACGCCCCCTCATATTTGGTCTCGCCCCCCACCAGCAATTGTTTTGATAATTTAAAACAATTCGTTGTGTATTAAAATACTGTCAATTTAATTAAGATCCTTTGGAAACTGTTTGAAAACATTTGGAACGGGAGTGCAATTTCCAGGAATCTAGAGTTGCAACTTGCTCTACCATCCTTATTTTATCTCAGTCCTAAACTCAGTGCATGCTGTGGGTGTTGAGACTCCTGGTAGTTTCCCCCTACGATTTTTTTTAAAAATCGCAACAAATATTTGATTTACTTAAAATTTAACGGAGATAAAAATTCAAATCAAGACACATAAGAATATAAAATGTCTAACAGTGCAATATCAAGCCATTTAGAGTTGCCACTGCATATATATATGTATATATACACATATATATAATATTAATGAACACACATAAATATATATAGAAAATATATTCCCTGAGGAATGAACCAAATGGCATCTTTATTTGAAAATATTGTAGTATTATTATTATTGAAGAAGTTTATTATTGAGCGAGTTTATATATTCAAACATAACACCCGACGGTAGGCAGTCATGCGTGTAATCAAGGACTTATAACTGTTACCAACAGTAACAGTTAAAAGTCCTTGGTGTAATCATGACTAAGAAGCCATAAATAGTTCAGCTTGGAAAAGCCCAGCACCGCTCCTAGCTGTATGTTCTTTTATTATCTCAGTGCAGCATGCTAAAATCAGGGAACAGTGAAATTTCACCGTTCCCTGCAAAAACATACTAGACCAATCTGTTCGATATGGTATTCAGGTAAGATTTGTAATTTTAAGAAAATTAATTAATAAAGGTAACATTATTAATATACTCTTTATTATAGTGATGTAACGATCATACGTAGGCCTAGCCTACTACAAATACAATATGCCGACTTATAGGCCTGAAAAATGCCAACTTGTAGGCCTATGGATTCACTCATCACAGCAAATTAAATGCATGAATATTTATTCAGTAGGTAAATCTACTCTACATTAGCGTGGAGTCCTGTAGTTTTCTTATGTGCATATAACAACAAATAATTGAATGTACGTGTTTGGAAACTGAATACTGTAATTTCCTTCTTGCTTATTACCTCCATGCTTATATATGCTTTGATATACATTGACAAATTTCCGTCACTGTGTATTCAAAACCAATCAAAACACAGTAAGTGGACCGCTGAAGTCGGATTGGACAGTTCCGTTAATAGAGGCATTACGTTATCGCTTGTGCTTTAAGTAAACAGATATTTGGGAATTCCGTTGTCTATAAATTGCGAGGGGAAAATACAACCAAATGTGTGACATCTATTATCAACTTAATGATATAATCTTGTACATTCCAGTATAATCGAGGTTAGCGTCAGTGTTCCAATGAGACTTTATCAGGATTGTTTTGTGGGATGCGGTGCTTTTATTTAGGTATAGGCCTATTATTTATTATCTGTATATATATGTATATATATATATTTATTATCTGTATATATATATATATATATATATATTGTATATAAGCAATATAGTGGTCTATATCATATCATGAAGGAAATATATTATATATATTTGTTTTGTAGACCATTCTTATTTTAAGATGGTGCATTGTTTATGTAATACTATTTTGCAATTTGCGTAGCACATGACTATGTATTCATGTACATGACTATGTATTCATAGTCAGTGTACCACGTCACACAGGGCTGACCCAAGCCATGTTTGAGTCTGTCGTGTTTCATTCTTGAAATCCTGAGCTGCACTGATGAAATCTAACAACATCAAAACGGTACTGTCTGCAGATTGTAATATATATATATATATATATATATA